GCACAAACAATGAAAGAAAGGTATCAAAATAATGAACTATATCATAATGCCCTACTAAATAGAGTAAAAAGTAAAACAAGTACTGATGAAGGAAAAAAAAGAAAGCTTACTTATCAAAAGCAATATACATCCAATAAAAGGAACTATAATAAATCTAAAAATGGTTTACACATGAAATTCAATGATCAAAAAAGAGAAATGCCCACAATCATCTGTATATGTTGTGCTCAACTGTTTTTTGAAAAATCAACTATAAAAGAAAGTAAGTTAAAAGTGCCTTCCAATATAAATATTTCTGAAGTATGCACATATAGGTGTCACCTTACAGAAAATCAGAAAGGAAATATATGTACTACTTGTGCAAATAATATACAAAAAGGTAAAATTCCACATTTTGCTGCTTCAAATGGTTTAGTTTTTGATCCACTTCCAGATGAATTAAAAGGTCTCACTAATCTGGAAGAAAGATTAGTTTCGGCTCGTATTCCATTCATGCAAATCAGGGAATTAGGCTATCAAAAACAATTAGGACTAAAAGGTAACTGTGTGAATGTACCCATAGATATTAACAAAACAGTAACATGTCTTCCAAGAATGGATTCTGAAGACGATACTTTACTGGTACAACTAATGAGAAGAATGAGTGATAAAAATCCCTATGCATATGAACACGTAAGACCAGAAAGAGTATTCGATGCAGCAAAACTATTGATAAATACTGAGTTATACAAAAAGCATAACATAACTCTCAATGAAAATTGGCTACAACAATTTCAAACACAAAGTGAAATTGACAATACAGATAGTTCATCTTGTACTGACTCTAATTTAAATGAAGTATCTGAAATAGATGACTTAATGGATCACCAAGAAACATTATTAACAGGTGGATTTATTGCAGACAGTGGAATAAGAATGGCTCCAGGAGAAGGTCAAATTCCACTCTCTCTAACTTTAGATAAAGACAATGATGTATTAGCTTTCCCCACAGTTTACGGAGGTAAACCAAGAACATTTAAGGTAGAGTATACGCCTGTTGATATTGCTAAAGCAGAAGCAAGACATCACGACAGAAGGGTAGCAACAAATATTCCAAAATTAATGATGAATTTTTGTAAAGCAAGAGTTCACAAACTTAAAAGTAGAATAAGCATTAATCTCAGAAAAAAAGTGAAAACTGATGCAGTTACCGTATCTCAGATATTAAAAATAGAAAATCTTGCATCTATTATTGAACATAATGATGGTTTTAAAATTGTTTCCAGTGATCGTTCATCTCCAGCTTTTTGGCAAGCAAAGCAAAAAAAGGTAATGGCTATGTTAAGACAATTTGGTTCACCAGCTATATTTATGACTTTCTCAGCTGCTGAAACTAGATGGAATCCTTTATTAGTATGCTTGTACCAAACATTAAACAATGTAACAATCACAGAAGAACAAGCCCAAAACTTACCATCAGCAGAGAAAATAAATCTAATCCGCAAAGATCCAGTAACAGTAGCAAGGTACATTGTAAACAGATTTGACGCATTCAGATCACTTTATCGAGAAAAGAATGGACCATTCTATCCCTATGAAGTTGACAACGATTTCTTCCGAATAGAACTGCAATTCAGAGGTAAGAAAATAATGACTTATACAATAATTGGGCAATTCTAGAAAAATGCGGAAGTGAGGGTCAACTTTCAGATTTCATCGTAGCGACCAGCTTGGGACGGTTTCGGATAGCCAAAAGCCTGAATTTTTGTTCTGCAAAGAAAGC